TCACTCACTCACTCACTCACTCAAAAGTGAGAGGTCAATACAAAAAGTGGGGCGGTGAGGCTGTAACGCAAAGTGCTCTCGAAGAATCCGACGGCAATTTTTCGTCAACTTGAAAACATGAGGTCATGCACATTCCAGCTTGTTTCGTTACGAGAGCTCGAATGTTTTCACCGTCGTTGGTGCGAGTGTGAGGAACTGACTTGCTGCGCTGGCTTCAAGCTGCTTTGGTGGTCCCATCTTTATGTTCGTCAGTTGTTACAACATGGTCGTCTACAGTTCGCCAGCTCAAAAACATGAGAGCGGAAGGCAATGGCATTTGAAAATGTTTTCAGAATGAAATTGGCCACGCGAGGCCCGTGATGATGTCCAACCTTAGAGCACCGTTCCGGATGCCTCTTCGACACCACGCTTCCAAGCCTCGAGATTGGCCGGCATGGTGACGTGCAAGCACGACGCGATATCGACACCAACTGCCCAAGTCATGAGCGGGTCAAGACGGAATGCTCGTGCGACTTTGCGCTTCGACAAAGGCCACAGCTGACATATGAGAACACTTCATGTTTTACATTCGTTGTGAAAGTCCTTTGGAAAACTGTGTGCAACTGTGAGCTCTAACCGAAATTTGATGATGAACGGGCAGCACGAATTTACGCGGGTGCCTGTGCCGGCGGATATTCGGATCGGGCTTGCAGCTGTAGGTAGGAGGCGGCGGAGAAGTTGTCACAGATGCTGGGGCCTTGTTATTGCCACGTCATCGGCGAGAGTTCATCCCATGTCCAGCCAGGCCTTTTTGACTTGCTTCGAACGTGGGCATGCGCCAGTCTCAGATGTGTGCATGAGGTGAAAACGGTTGCGCGAGAAAGTTATGTTGTCATGCTTCTCTGTGAGGCCAAAGCTTTACCAGCTGACACTGCAGAGATCTTCTGCAGTCTGTCGGCTGAAGTTGGAATGATGGGTTGCGCAGATCCTCCAAACAATGTGGAAATCAACTTCAAGATCCGGCGTCGATGCGGAAGGGTGATTTGGGGATCTCGTGGTGTTCCAGTTCGTCCACTGTTCCACACAAGTCTTGCATCATGTGCAGATCACGCATGCCATCTACGGAAATTTCTCAGCACCGAAGGCGCAGGAGCGGGTTTGCATGCCAATATCCGTGCTTTGCAGCCTTCGTCAGTTTGTTGTTGTCAGGAGATCGTGTGCTCCCGCTACAAGACGCTGGAGCTGCTGAGGCCCGCCGAGAAAGAGTTTTGACAGCTGTTTCACGGCTCTTGGCACAATGCATCATTGCAGCTGTAGGCCCGACGATTCCGGAAAAGTGCAGAGTATCCTGTCCGTGGAGCGATGAGTGTCGATGTGTGGGCTTTCCGAGCAAGAGACTCTTCCTGCGAGAAATGACCGAACTGCTGAGATATTGGATTTGCAGGAGATTTTCGGTGTCATCCGAGCACTGCATCCATTCAGACTGACTGGAGCCAGTCGGGATTACATAGCCTGCCCGGCACGCTTTCACTGCATCTTGTGAGCATTCGTCTGATGACAATGGCAGGTTGTGGCGTCGGACTCGGGCAGAATAGTCATCCTGGAGTACGATGGTACGAAAAACATGTCTGGGCCTTTCCGGACCCCTATGACACCAAGAGCCGCACTGAGAGCCACGGCGAGCCTAGGTTCGAGAAAGTGCATCAAGAGACCTTCGGCAAAACCGGTTGCCGGAGAATCGTGTCCTAACCTGAGAGTTGCCATTTTCTGCTAAGCTTTCCACATTCTTGCGGTGGCCGAGGCCGGGTCAATATCTCGCAGTTGACCCCAAGGGTCGTCATGTCCTCAACAGCCCGGACAGAACATATCAGAGACGGAGCATTGCAGGCCTCTGTATTGGGAGTCTAAGGAGCCGTGATGATCGCCGCGATTGAGAAGCAAAAGTTTGTTTATGCCTTAGATCGATTGTGCTGCTTTTGTAGCTTGTTCCTCAATCCGATACAGACAAGCCCAGCATTTCTCTCCGCCAGGTCTACATTCTGAACAGGGACTCTGCAGCGCGATTGACAATTTCGTCGCCACTTGAAGCGCACAAGAGCAGCGAGCTTAGCTTCGAATGCAACTGTTTCCTGGCACTGCCAGCTGCAGATCAAGGTTACACGTTGGTCTATGGAATGGTTGGCATGGATGTTGGATTTGAGAACCCTCTTTTCGCCAGCATAGAACTCAGCTACGAGGAGGCAGGGAACGGAAGCGGGTGGAGGTGTTGAAGAAATGCGCTGTTCTTTGGCAGGTGGACAAGGATCCGCAGGCAGAGCCCCCGCAGAAGATGCTGACACTCTACGAGATGGACCTGGGCCTAAACCACGTGACTCGAAAGTTTGCAGATGCAGTGGACCATAGTGCTCATGCCTTGATCGCCGTCCCGGGGGGTGTCGATGGGCCGAGTGGGGTCCTGGTCTGTTGCGAAAATTGCCTCGTGTACAAGAAGCAGGGCCACCCCGATGTCGTGTGCGCGATTCCAAGACGTCTTGAGATGGCCCAGGAGAAAGGTTTGCTCATCGTGGCACATGCGACACACAAGCTGAAGGACTTCTTCTTTTTCCTCATCCAAAGTGAGTACGGGGACCTGTACAAGGTGACTTTGACTCACGATGAGGACCTTGTGTCGGAGGTTCAGGTCAAGTACTTTGACACCGTGCCGCTTTCGAACGCTCTCTGCGTTCTCAAGACCGGCTTCCTCTTTGCTGCTGCAGAGTTTGGCAATCACGCACTGTATCAGTTTCAGGGCATTGGAACGGATGAAGAGGATCCCATGTGCACATCCTCCCATCCTCACGGAGCACAGGCCCTTGTGGCATTCAAGCCTCGAACGCTCAAGAACCTCATGCTTTATGACGAGATGCCGTCGCTGTCTCCGATCATCGACATGAAGGTTCTAGATGCCACAGGTGAAGGAAAGCCGCAGCTGTACGCCATGTGTGGTCGCGGTCCGCGAGCCTCCTTGCGAGTTCTTCGACACGGCTTGGCGGTGACGGAGATGGCTGTCAGTGAACTGCCAGGAAAGCCCAATGCAGTATGGACGGTGAAGGTGGCACGGCAAATAGTGTAAAGTAGACCCACAGTCGTCGTGAGAGATTGGAAGCGCTGCGTTAGTGTGTTTCAGGCCACCATGGACAGTGAGTACGACCGCTACATTGTGGTATCTTTCGTAGATGTCACTCTCGTGCTTTCCATTGGCGACACAGTTGAGGAGGCGGTCGCACAGAGCATGCGAAAGACATGTGTGTCGTGATGTTTCGTATCGTGTGATAGCACAATTCCGCAAGTCGTAAGAGCTTGTCGATGTAGGTGCTGGACAGCGGATTCCTGGCCACTGCCCCTTCCTTGCTCATCCAGCTGATGGCAGATGACTCTTACGTACAGGCTATTCTTACTCTTGAAGTCATGCTGGACTTGCGGCGTAGTTGCTGCATGTGTCATGTGGCGAGGTACACCCGACGGGCATCCGCCACTTGCTTCCGCGGAGAACGAATGAGCCACGGCCTAGCCATGCCATGCTTGTGCCGCAGCACACCTCGCAACTGTGCCGTGATAAGGTGGAGGGTGCCTGGACAGAAGCGAATTGTAACAGCGGCTGCGAACGAACGACAGGCTCGGCAAATTTGGATCATTCCCAAAGCTCGAGTTGAGCCGTGGTGGTGATGCAGAAATGCCGGTCAGGTTGTTATTGCCTTGTCTGGCGGAGAGATTCTTTATTTCGAGATTGACGAGAGCCACACTCTCAACGAGGCGAGATGTGTTAGGATCTGGGCCTTTGCTCTTGCCGGTGCGTCCTGCACATCGCATATCTTGTGTCGTGCAGGTGGCGAAGCGTGACATGAACTATGAGGTCTTGTGTATTGCGGCAGGAGTCCCGGACTGCTGCTGACGGTCTCAGCGCTGTCCCCTACTGTGCTGGTGAATGCCAGCCACTGGCACCTAGCAAGCTTGGATTCGCATGACGAGGTGCAGCCAGTTCCAGAGAACCGGCAGCGAGCGTCATTCATGGCCGTGGGAGGTGGACGTTTGCATAGTGGTGGCATGAGCATGTGTATTGCTCCTTGAAGCCTTGCTGGAAACACTTCATGGCTCGGATGATAGTCTCTCGACAAACACAGCCTGCATTATCGCCATACCTGGATAGACAGACTGCAAGACTCGAGCAATTTGAGCAAGCTGACGAAATTTTAAGATACTTGACAGTAAGGCTCAACGATTTGCTTTGTTGCCGATGCCGCTTCGTTTCTTGCACCAGCACGGCAATGGTGAGAATTTGCAAAGCATCTTGCCACAACCCACGGCTGGATCCAGGGTTCCATGGGAAGAGAGGTTTCTCGAGACAGACGGCTGGGAAGGCTACGACGACGTGGCTGCAAGTGACTCGGACCCGAAGTGGTGGCATGTACCTGACGAGAAGATCGCGGAACTCATTCAGGGACGCACCGGAGAGGTCCGACGCCGATCTGGAGGGGAACCCACAGAAGCTCCGCCTGGGACGGTGCCCGCTCTTCCGCCGAGCCAGGAGCCTGCCGGGCGCACCGAGCCTGCCGAGCCTGCCGAGCCTGCAGGTGCCGAAGACTCGAAGGCCGCATTGAAGCCTTGGAAGGTCTCCGACGATGCGATACTGAGACTTATTCAAGACACAGAAGCGAGGCAGAGGCAGTCGGCCCTTTCGAAGACCGGGGCGGAGCTGCTAAGTATGCCATCCGTCGAACACGTGCACAAGCCTGTACCAAAGCCGCGCGTTGTCTGCGGCTTGGATTGAAGCCACACCCTGTCGTGACATGAGACAGAACTAGTTGTTGAGTCCCTATTTGCGCCAAGCCCTTTTTTACCCGAGGCATTCGGGTGGCATGGGTCGGAACCGGCGAAACGATTGCTCTGCATGTGCCGCTGGACCTACCGATCGACCCGCAACCAGCCGATCCAGGGCACGAAGAGTTGCTAAAAGTCAATTCAAGTCCGTTTGTTTGCTTGTGTTGTTAGGCTTTTCTAAATGTCAGCATGCAGGGCGCAAGGGGTTCGGGTGGAGGAACAAAGGTCATGTCGCCACCATGTCTTGCATTAGGTCCACGGAGCTTTCGCGAACTCGGAGGCCTGGCGCGAGCCGGGCTACCCGGGCTACCCGGGCCAGCTTGGCGCTTCAGCGGCTCCTTCCTGAAGCGAGCGCAGCGAGCGAAGCGAGCGGGAGAAGCTTTGAGCCAGCCTGGCACTGTGACTGCAAAGTCTGCAAAGTTCAGAGTTGGCTTGTGGCTTTGCTCGTGGCTGTTGTGTGTTGTTGATTCAGCGGGCGGCGATCGCATGGGTCCTATGTTTGCATTCCTTCGTTCTCATCAGGCAACGGCGAAGTAGATCGCAGACCTCACTGAAAGGGATGCTCGAGTCCATCACAGGCATTCCGCCCTCCCTACAGAGGCTGTGGCTTGGAGCAGAGTCATGTCTCCATGGCTCCTCGTCTCCTACATGTCCTCACTGAGCCAAGGGTTCATGACAAGCACCTCTGCCGAGCCGGCGCCACCTTGAAGGAGATGAGTCTGAGTCAAGAAGCACATTCTGCCGCATCATGAAACCATGAAGGAGGTTGGTGTGGCGGATGGTGATCAGATCACCTTGGTAGTAGTCCCGCGGCTTCCCAACCATGCCGAGTCAGAGGTGGGGGATGCGAGTCACAGCCTTTCCAGCTTTGTTATCCTGTATGCAGGAGCTCGCGCACCGAGGTGACTTCAGCAAAGGCCTGGGTTCTCCGAAACTCCGAGGTGCAATGACTTTCCGTCTGACGAGGTGTCGTCAAGAGAAAGGCGGGTAGAAATTTCCACGTGGTTCATCCCTGGAGGCCTTGGCCTTGGTTCACAAACATTTCACAGTCAGTCACTGTATCTGCCGATATACCATATGTTATGAGAGTATATGACCTCGTAAGAGTTGAAAAGTGTAGTATGGTAGAATAATATGGTACAACATACCGACAACGCCGCAATATGTAATATAACATACCGTAGTAGAAAACTGACCACAACGGTGCAGCATGAACATGCGCAACATGGTGGTCGATTCTGACTGGTCTTGCTGAGGTGGGGTCAGGATGCGAGGCCCAGCAAGGAGCCATGTGGATTTGTCTCGAGCGACTCTCGGCTGCAGAACGGAGTCTACGAGCCACCCGGTTGTGGATTACGCCTGGCATCCCATGACGCCGTGGATGCCGTGGCACGTGATGTGTCGGTGCTCAGGACATTCATCTTCCCAACTCGGGCGACCAGACTTTGTTCAAGCTCCGGGAGAAACTCGGAATGTTCAGCTTCAGGGGACGGACATAACCTCCTGCTAATCCAGAACAGCTGGATCCTGAAGCAGAGTTAATGTGCAGTGTGGTGCTTTGTTGACCTGCCGAAGATCGGCACAGGGAATCCATCGCAGTCCATGCGAAAAAAGCAATGGTCATCAACCCATCACTGACTTGTCGTGGTGAACATACCTACAACAACCACATGTTGCAGGTTGGATCTTATCTCTACTTGTCATTATTGCTATGATGATTATTGCTGGTAGTTTGCAAAGCCACCATTTTTCAGTGTTATTGCAAAAGTTCTTATTCTTATTAGTTCAGTTCTTTCTGTTCATGACAATAACAATAAGAAGAGCTCTCATGACTATTATTATTAATTACTATTATTGTTATTATTATTGTTATTAAGTTGCAGGTGTGGACAACACCATCCGCATCCTTTCTCTGGAGCGCGAGAGGCCGCTGAAGCAGCTGAGTGCCCAGGCCTGGGCCCTGGGCCCCGACATCGGAAGTACTCGTCTTAAGGGCTAGAATTGAGAAAAGTGCTGGTGGAAGTATGAAGACTCGTAGTAGGATAAGTATTATTCAGGTTTAAGATGAATATTACCCTTGGTATTTGCAGTAAAAGGAAGATAAGTACAAAGAATGGGATCATGATTAGTATGAAGATGAGTATTAGTAATAGTATTGATTCTCCAAAGGATTCCTTTTTTACTTGTGTTCGGGACGACTGCCCGTCCTGTCTCACCGGTGTGTGGTATCCAGATGATGTGGGGCATGCGTTGCAGCTTGCAAGGAAACTAGATGCGCTCTAGGACCACAACACCAGCTGATCTGAGCCTTGGATAGCGCTGATGCAATGCTGTCTCTGGAAGCGTTTGAGGCCCTGCAGTCACCAGCTGAAAGCGTTTGCCTCCTGGAAATGAAGAACCTGGGACAGGCAGAGGCTCGCTTGCTGGCTTGTTCGTGTTGAGTATTGTGCGCATCTCTCCGTCTGTAGGATGTTCACAGCCTGTTCCTGAGTATTGGTTTGAGCCGCGTCCCCAGCCCGACTAAGCGAGTGCAAGCAGTGCCAAACGTGCAGCTACCCAAAGCTGCAAAGACGCTGCAACACGAGGCAGCGGCATCCTCATCCGCTCGGTGGTCGACTTTGCCAGGATCTGAGGATTCCGAAAGGCTCCGGTGCGAACTGAGTCTGCAATATCTTCCATGGCCTCTTTAGAGGTCACCGGTACGTTGAGCGATCAGCGCTCCCGATTTCTGGGTGCCAAAGCGGTGCGACTTCACAAGGCATCCAAAAGACAGCTCGTTATGCTCATGGCGTCATGGGAGAGAACCAGACGACAATGTGTGAAGTTGAGAGGTCTCCGTCCAGGGAATGCGGGGAGCTCAGCACAGGGCTTTCAGTGAGGTCATGATTGAGAGCCTCCAGGCCGTCAATGCTTGCTTTAAGCACGAAGCCCTGGCTCTCCTACAACTTCCAGGGCAAGAACCACTGCCCCTGGCTCAGAAAAGCCTCCATTCATGTGAGCCCAAAGTCACATAACCCACAGAACCTTCCCTCCTTGAGAGGCACCCCGATGAGCTACGAGCAGTTGGAGTTCGCCTCCTCCTTCGCCTCCGAGCAGTGCCCGGAAGGCTTGCGGAGATGGAAGACACGCTGCAAACACGTGCTCTGCTCGTGCTCGGCCGGGGGAGGTTTTGTGGCGATCTCCGGCAACACGCTGCGTAGGGATCCCAGACAAAAAGTGCTTCTTCTGAGTTCGGTGGCTTCGTGAGCTGATGTCGCGACTGGAAATTGAAGGCATTCTCGCGTGCGAGAGATTGGGAGAACTGTTCAACCAGACAGCCGCGAGCTCGGTTTGCTTGAAATGCGTGAAATCGCTGCCTGCGATGCACAATGCCTTAGGTCATGAACTTGTCTTACACTCCTCGGCGCTTTGTGCCGCTGCCTCCCGCGGTTCTGCCGCCGCCTGGCCAGCCGACCACGGACCCGATCATGACCGGAGCTAAGCGTCCGACAGAGGAAGCCGCCGTGAGGAAAAACCCGCCTCTCCTGTAGGTTGGCCATTTTGGAGGCGGACCACAACGCATACAATGAGGTGCCAGATCCGAGCCGACCTTCCTGCGCCCCCGTCTTCCCGATAAACGCGACAGGAGACGAAACGAGAGATCCGGGCGGCGCTGAAGAAGATTCGTGTGGCACCCACACGTGTAACAGAGGTCAAGCAGGAGAGCAAGCACCAACTGAAGGCTGTGAAAGCTGCCCATGCTGAGGCCTGACCAAGACAGTCGATGACGAGCTGGATGATGTCAAGGACGAGGATGACGAGGAGGATCTCCCAGAAGCGCAGGCGATCCGCGATCACGCAGCAAGCATCAGCAAGCTCCGGGCTTGCTCCGTTTCGGCGTTTGCAGACGGACCCTCGTTATTGTAATTCACACGCCACGTGTTGTAGCGATTCAGTGGGAGCCTTGGGGTTGCCTACTCTCCGTGGGCAGAGGGACGATCTTCTCACTCCATTCACGGAGGTGGGCCTCGTGTGTCGATTTTGCTTGCCACTGTTCTAAATGCTTCGAGCCCAGACTACTGGCGACTTTGTCCAACGAGTAGTGGTTGCCACATAGAAAGTTCCGGTGTCGCACCGATGCATCCAATGCATCACTTTCCCTACTCCCTCGAGGAGTCCCCGTCGGGGTATCCATTCATCAAACGCCGCAGCTGCTGATCCAACCAAGTTGGTGGAGTCCGACAGAGTGCTCAGCCAGAGCTCTGCCTTCCGTTCTCATCACGGCCGGGCGAAACCTTCACAGCGAAGGGCAGTGCGGAATCCTTTTCTCAAGTTTTGAAATCACGGCACAAATTTTCATGGTATCGGGGGCTTAGCTGTTCAATTTCCGTGCCGGTTGAAAATGTGGTGTGTCACTTCGCGACGCTGCTTGTCCTCGGTTTGTGGTCATGCTGAAAGGCTTTCGACGTACCGTGGACATTCCTCCAGCCCTCCGATGCGAAAGCTCGAGCACTTCAGCTCCGGGCTGAAGCCGAGGTAGGTCCTGCGCGCATACCAAGAAACATGGCCGAGACGTTGCAGGTCTGCTGATTCAGCCATGTCATGTGCAGCACGTTCCTGATGTACAGCTGACATCAAAGATGTACGCAGCCGGAGGTTTGAAAAGCACAGGAATGACTGCCCAATCCGACGGGAGCCTCCGATTCAACTCGTGAGGTTCCCATGGACGTACTGCTTGTAGCAGAGACTTTTAGCATGTCCTCATCTCCTCGGAAACCGTCGGCCTGCCAGTCCAGATGCTAGACAGGCTGAGTTAAAATCTGTATGATGCGAGTATTGCATCCCGTGAAGGCAACACTTTGAGACCGAGTGTCGTGCTTCGCTGACCTTAGTGCAAAGAACGGCAGAACAGCAGAGGTTGTTTCACGACCAGCGCTTGGAGTAGCATTTACATGCCGCACCGGGCATGAGGAGCAATCATCGGCCAAATCCATCAAAGCGTTGCGACGCAGCCCAACCACAGCTCCTGACTGCACCATCCCCAAATTTGACTGCACCTTGGTGTCCTGCCCGACTGAACTAGAGACGTTTGCAGGTTGAAAAGAGAGTAAGAAGGACGGCTCTGAAATTGTGGACATCAGATAAAGGGGCGCGTGCTGACGCGTTCCGGCCTATGCCTTTTGCTCCGTGAATGACCCAACACATCTCTCGAGCCGGTGTTGCAGACAGAAAGGGGTGCGACGGCGGAAGGAGCTCAACGGGGCGATACTGTACGCAGGGCTTCCACTCGCTCCCCCTCACTTCCCCCCGCCCCCCTCATTTCCCCTGGCTCCCTCTGTCCTTTGTTGTTCCTGCATGTGCAGACTGATAGCACGACGCAGGTTGGAACCTTCAAAGCTGGCGAAGGGAAGTGGGGATCCTGTGTGCGTATCGCTCGAAGCTGAGATATTGCAAAGGGAACGATGTCAGTGTGAAGGTTAGCAGGTGCTAGCTGCTGAGGTGAATCCGTCAAACTTGCTCCCTGTTTTCAAGCTTGACTTGGACATCGATGAGGCTGGCGAATGCTAATGATGATGTTCCAGAGGAATGTCTGAGTCGTGCAAATCTGCTCTCAGGCTGCGCTGTGCCTAACAGTTTGCTACTTCTCCCAGCTTGCAAACCAGTGGTTCCCTAAGTCACAGGTGAGGCTTTGCTTAGCAGTGCGAAGCACCGTTTGCTCTGAGGCCTTGTCTCGTCGTCGGCACCGTTTACAACATGACGCCACGCCTGTCACGTCTTATGACACTCTCAGTAATTCTACCTGACACAGCCGGTTGTGGCCAGGTTGTACCCGAGGCATGCACCCAAAGCGACCATCAAGACGTACATGTACGACGAGTTGGAATCTTAGATCCCCAGACACCTCTTCCCTTCAGCGCAATGTGTTGTGATCTTGCGAGGAGATATCATCTGCAGCTCATTCACTCTACGCCGCTCGATGTCCATCTCTCAGCGATGCCAGAGCACAAACAAACTCGGTCACCCGGTCACGTGCTTGGAACCTTGGTCCGCGACAGGATGTCCCGCTCTGCCTCTTCCCCTTCGAAGGCAGGGACCCGGAGGAGCAGCGACGGGGAAGGGAACCCATGGAACCCTGGAAACCGGAGAGGGGAGGCTTTTGTGAGCAGACTTTTCGAGCTCTGACCTTTGAGCTCCGAGGTCGGCTGCTGGCCAGCGTTGGCAAGTGCCTGCGCATCTACGAGCTCGGGAAGCGAAAGCTGTCCTTTTCCTGCACCTTCTGTTTGGGGTTCTTGATGGACCCTGCCATCGTGAATCATACTGAGGTTGCGAAAGTGTGAGTACAAGAACATCCCCGAGGGCTTGATGTGGATGTCGGAATCCTCATTTTGAGGAAGGCCTCTGGAGCTTCCACGCTTTCTCATGGTGTTTGCAAGGCACGTGAAGGGTGACAAGATTTTCACAGCAGACCTTCGCGAGTCCTTCCACATCTTCAAGTGCTCTGCAGGGAACCACCTTGGCGTTTTCTGTTGATGACTGTCTGCAGAGAAGATGTTTCCATGAGAACGGGCTGGGGTCTGTGCCAGCCCTCACAGTCACCATTTCACAGGACAGTTGAACGAGAGGTACCGTCGTTCAGACAATCAGCTTTTTGTGCTTTCGGATGATCAAGCTCCAAGATGGACGCCCGAGTCTGAGTGCCAGAGATCCACCAGTGCATGTCCAGCACTTTAAATCGTGCTATGTCACTGCCAGCGAAAACCCTCTACGCGCATGCCCGCACCGGGCAGGGGGTGAAGGCTTGCAAAGAGACCAGGGGGCCGACACAGCCTCGAGACTGCAGAGGGCAGAGCGATTAACGGCCGCAGCAGCGTCCGAGCCCACACAGAGTCTCACTACCTGTCAACTTCCGTCATGGCGTGTTCCCAGTGTTGGGAAAAAGCGTGGCTTGTTCATGCAGGAAGCCTGATTTTGTCCGGTACATGAGCCGTGCGCCTGTGTCCGCGTCGTGGAGCTTCTGAGGACTTGTGCGACCGTCCTGGACAGCATGACCATGGCAGGCTTGGCAAAAGGCTTGTGACATCACTATGCATGTCGGGGTACATGGTGCAGGTGCGGACAAGTTTGACAACTTCTTCATTAGCAGAATACCAGACGAGGCTAGCCCTACGAGCTGCCTAGAGTTGTAGCTCGAGCTAGAGCATCTTTCCTTGCCTTTTCACAGCTCTGAATTGACCTCAGGCCCGCGGCGATGAAGGCACTCCAGATATGTGCACCAAACATGTGACCAGAAAGGGGGCGTGTTGGTGCTGGCAGGTGGTGATCACACCGGCCTGCGGTTGAAGGCACCTCGGCTGCTGCTAGGTTTCAGCCAACGGAGAAGAGAGCCGAGTAGCTGGCGCAGGCCGACACTGCCTACCTCACCGGTGCCACGCCGAAGCTGGATAGCATCGTGCAGTTCCATGTTGGCGGGGTGCTCTGTCGCCTGTGAAGCAGCGGCCCCTCAGCCTCCCGGAGCCATTCAGGTGACACGGTCACGGCGCTGGAGAAGACAACCCTGGCACAGGGAGGAAGCGAGCTGATCTGCTACTCCACCCTCCTAGGCAGGCTGCCGCGTGCCCCGTGACAGTGGCAGACTTCCGGTGCGATATGTTGCGTTCCAGGCGCTATTGGAGCCTTCTATCCTTTCGCAGGGAAGGATGAGGCCTTCCAACCTTCTGCTGAGACAAGGCTATCGCTGCAGCAAGTTGATGTGGACAATGGCCAGTTGGACTTCTTCCAGCACTTGGAGATGTTCGTGCGGGCGGAGAAGCCTCCCCTGTGTGGCAGGGATCACATAATGTCCCCCAGCGCATTGCCTGTCTCCTTCAGAGTGTCAGAAGGCTCTCTGGGTGCAAGGTACCGCTCGTACCACTTCCCAGTGCAGAGCTGTCTGGCCTCAAGTTGTTCCCCTCACAGCCACCTGGAGCCAGCTCCGGGATCCTCCTCCTGAGGCGTTGACGGCGACCTCTGTGAGCAGTTCATGACCCTCACCGCCGAGAAGCAGCTTCCTCAGACACCTCTTTCAACTCCAATCTGGAATGTCCATACAAAATCTGAGGCAAAGGCTAATTGCAAGTGAGTTGGACCGCACGCCGGCAGAGATTATCAAGAAGTTGGAGGCATCAGAGAGACCTCTTTGCCTTACGAAGAGAGGCTGGGTCTGATGGCTCTCGCCTGCCAGGACATGCGAAATCGGCTGATCTGAGGGTGGCTCGTTTATCTAACGCAAACTCAAGCAAAGCATTCACTAGTCGAGAGATACAGTGAACCAGTGAATGTACGCTGCAAGTAGTACTCTGTCGTGACGTGAGGTGAGGCGGGCTTATTGCACACGATGTGAAGTGGAGTTGATGCTTGGGCTATCCAAACTGCCACTCACACACCAAAACAGCGTCGACTCTTTGCACCGTGGTCAGTCCAAAGCTGCAGAAGAGTTGCTTTTGTCTTTTGCATCAGCTGCAGACGGGATGGGGCTCTGCTCAAGCAAAAGCACCCTAGAAGCGTGCTGCTCCTGGTCATACTTCCAGGATCAGGATTTCTCGTTGCTAGCTCGTGATTAAGCCTTCCTGTATGTACTAGAACCTGCTTCTTTTTGCTGCAGCTACAAGTAGGGGAGGTCGGGTTTTGGTGTCTATAGGGCTCCTTCGACAAGTTGCTTAGTGTACCTTTGGGTTGTTCTTGTTGCGCTCACAGCTACCACACTCCAGAGTCTCCACAGCCTTCGCTTTTCGTGCTTTCGCTTTGGTGTGTTTGCCATGAGCTCCGCGGTCTTCCTTTGCGAGTCTCCTCTGCCCGGTGCCAGGGGCCCGGCGGGCCCGGGCCCCCAGGTAGCGGCCTGCGACCTGTGGCCATGCTACGCCCGGTTCCGCCTCTGCCACGGAAAGAGCCAAAAGCCGCTTCGGCGAATGGGACCGGCTCTGCCGCTCCCTCGGCCACGCGAAGGAACGGCTCCACGAGGCTCCCTTCCAAAGCGGAGACTGGTGGCCGTGGTCTTGAAATAGGTGCGGCCGTGTGGGTGTCTGACCCATCCCAGGTATGGACAGCTGGTGAGGTCACTCAAAGCACGAGCAGCCATGTGGTTGTGAAGCTGGTTTCGGCTGATTCACCCGAAGATGACCTGGAGGACCTGGAGGTACCGCACACAGGTGGCAAGGTGCGACTGCTTCGGCGGGATACAACCATCGTCGACGCTGCAGCTCTCCAGTACGATGACTTAACAAATGTGCCGGAGCTACACGAGGCTGCACTTCTGCAGGCAATCGCGGACCGGTTTCAGCGAGGGCGCATTTACACTTTGACAGGTCCCGTGCTTCTGGCGGTCAACCCTTTTCGACACATGCCTGGCCTGTATTCGCCGGAGATGCTTCGCAGCTTTGTGTCGGCCGAGAAGCTTCAGCCCCACATCTTCAGCATTGCCAATCGGGCCTATCAAGGCTCGAAGGTCACGAAAGGCTTATGGCTTATAGGCGTAGGAAAGCAGAGCCAGGTAACTCAAGGCCCCCGAATCCCCGATATATATATATATATATGTCAGGCATTCTCGATCACGACGAGTCTCAGACCGTCCTGGTCAGTGGAGAAAGTGGTGCTGGAAAGACAGAGACGACGAAGTTTGTGATGCACTTCCTGGCATTGACCGGAGCCGAGGCGGTGGTGAGTGAGGGCGAGAAGCCACTGTCTAGGGTGGAGCGACAGGTGCTCAGGTCAAACCCATTGCTTGAAGCTTTCGGGAATGCGCAGACCCTTAGAAATCACAATTCGTCGAGGTTTGGCAAGTACATCGAGCTGCAATTTGGTTTGGAAGACGGGCTGCCCGGGTCGAAGAAGCGACTTATTGGAACGAGGATTCGCACTTACCTCCTTGAGACGGTTCGTGTGATTGACCATCAGCCTGGTGAGAGGAGCTTTCACATTTTCTATCAAGCCCTGGCCACATCGGCACACTTGCCTGAGCTGGACGGCATGGTGAGGGAGCACCTTGGGAAGATTGAGGGAATCTCCTGCTTCAAAAATCTTGGCAACTCGAGATGCTCTGAGCTTCTGGATGACACTGGGGACTTTCAGGCAACGCTCGCTGCCATGCAAACTATGGGTTTCCATGCGCATGAAATCGCCGACGTTCTCCGGGCTGTTCTTGCAGTGCTGCATGTTGGAAACATTGAGTTCACTGTGCCTGCGAAGAAGCCCGCTCGTGTGGAGGAACGCGTTACCCTTCATTGAAGGGCTTGTTCTAAGGTCATGTCTTTCTTTTCGCTCCGGCTTTTGAGTCATCTGTAGAGCTAAGGAACAGCGAGGCCTCCGAGGTGCTTCCCTCGGCCGGAGCGTCGGAGGATCTCAAAGCTCCCTTGGATGAAGCCTCCGAGCTCCTGGGTTTATCAGGGACCCAGCTGGCCGAAGTCCTCTGCTACCGGACGATGCAAGCACCGGGCGAGCAGGTCATCCGCATGGGAAACACCACAAAGCAGGTGGGAGAGAAGCGAAGTTCGAAGACTGGAGTCTAAGTCCAAACTTACACCCTCCAACTCTATACAAACTACTAGAAGCCCTTTGAGTCTGTGAGATAAGTCTACGACAACCCTCTACCATGCACCCTGAGGCGGCCGAGTGCAGAGATGCCCTCGGACGGTATCTCTATCATGCACTCTTCAAGCACATCGTGGAGAAGACAAACGCCTCCATTGGCTTCAAGCCAGAAGCCACTTTCTGTGGAGTGCCGCGGCCTAAGATCGAGACCGACCGGCCTTGAGGCTGCAGGTGCCTCTCGCTGCAGAGGCTGGACATCTTCGGCTTCGAGTTCTTCAAGGTCAACTCTTTCGAGCAGCAAGGATCTCGGAGAGCAAGAGTAACAGAAAAGCAAGCCTCTGAGTCTGTGTTCATCCGCGACGCTATTCCCTCAGGCTTTGCATCAACTTCACCAACGAATTGCTGCAGCAGTACTTCAACAACTTCATCTTTGAGAACGAGACCATTCTCTACCAAGAGGAGGGTGTGTCGACGCCTCAGCTGCGCATGCATGCGCTTGCACTACTCCACCCTGCCGGGCCAACAATGAATGCCGAATCCACACCGGAACCCTTATAGTAACCCCCTATGGTACCTCTTACGGTGCCCGAAACCGCGACACCCTGCAAGCCCTGGGTTGCCCCAGTTTCCGGGCCTCTGAGGCCCTGGCAAGACGAAGACTTCCCGGACAACACCGGCATTGTGAAGCTCTTGCAGCCTGGGCCCAAAGCCTTCAGTCGTCCTGCAGTCTTTCGCCCAGTCTCACTCCATAAGCCCTCAGGCCGGAAGCTTTAAGCCCTAATTAAGGGCAACAGTGTCAGCACCAAAAGCCCGACGAAATTGCCCAAGATACCTCCAGGCCCGGAAACCTAAACCCGAAGTGGTAGCCCAGACCCTAATCGCAATGACGTGAAGAACACAAACATGCGGTCAACCCACAGAAAGAACAAAGACGCGGTTTATGCAAGAAGGGGAGATGCCGTTTATAGTCTGTTAGCATTGCGACATGTGCCGAAGGCGTGTGTGTTGTAAACTTCGCAACACATACAGCTGGGCTACGCGAGGCTTAGACAGGGCATGGGGGATAGCGGGTCGAAGACCGTAGTTGGGACGGATTGGCTTGAACCTCTGCTCCTGGCCCTGTGCAACAGATTGAGCATGGCAAAAATGGCTTTTTCCCATCAGCAGTGCGCCATCACGGAGATGCGCGAGGATCGTCGGGTCGGCCTGCTGTGATTGTAGTTGCTTGGAAGACCTTTCTTCTACTTGCACGAAATAACAGCTGATCTTCCGCTGATCGGCTGTAAGCTCCTGAGACTTTCAGGATGACGGTGCGAGACTGGTAGAAAGGCCCATAGCTGTCACGCCTTGTGAGGTCCTCGCCATCAGGGATCTTTCCCATGCTTGACGAGGACGGGATCCACCCAGTGTCGCGAAGTGCGGAAGGTTTTGGGTTTTGTGTTACTTAGGAGAGCTCGTCATAGCACATCATCCGTCCTGTGGGTAAGCGGAACGCAACTTCATCAGTTTCTTGGAGAAGTCAACACATGGGCATTTGCCGTGGTGGACTTGAGAGGGCATAAAGTTCTAATGGCCTCGCTCAACGAGCAACATGGCTGGGAGGAGTGCTTCGTGATAGGCGGCACTTCTGGCAGCTGGCATAGGAAGCTCATACAGACGTCGGAACCCTAAACTCGCGTGAAAGAAAAAGTCTGGCTTGGCACTTACTGTTGCTGCTGTCTCAGGCATCAGAACCATCCTTCTTTCGGCGTGGTGAAACTACAAAACTCTACCTTCATTGTCCAGGGCTTGGAGCGGAAGTGTGGAGAGAAAGTGGCATAGCCCAGATAGTCCAGACTTAGACAGGTGAGGCACTTTGCCGGTCCGGTAACCTACACAGTCACGAACTTACTATGAGCTGATCGGCACAGATGCGATCAGAGGAAGTCGATGTGGATTAAGGTGGATGGGTTTCTCGAGAAGAACCGTGTCGCTCTCTGAGAAGCAACCTGTTTTGTCCTACTGAAGCGAGCGAATTTGACTTGGTCAGGACCGTCTTTCACAGGACCTTGTCCGGTGTCTGGCTGGCAGTGTTGGAAGCTGAGTAACGGGAGGCAGCAGTTTATTTCTCACATTCTCTGGCCTTTTCTGTTCCGCAAGGATTGGCCCTTTGTGCGGAACTGTTTCAAAGATAGCGCCGAGAACTCCGTGTCTCGTGCCGAACTCATTGAGCCAGGTATAGCCCCCCCTTTAAATTGGAGGA